ATTTAACATTTTGATGAAACCCTTGTGTTTTGGGATGCAGCCAAAACAAATAGTATGGGTATCAAAATATACAACTGGTAAAGAAAAAAATACCTCTAATCCATCAATCACTTTCCAGTAATAATATTTGACCACTTGTATTAGGCTCACTTTTTCTTTGTGATAAAGTCATGAATAAATGCCAGTGAGAGTGTGCATATGTGTACATATAAGAAAGGTAACTAGTCAAGAAGACAGAAAAGACAGGGAAGGGGAGGCATTATCATGCTTTCTAAAACAGGGCTTCTTGAACTATTTTCATTCATGACCTCTTTCCACTCGATACATAAAATAGGTTTAAAAACCAAACATTTGCTTTATCTATTGTGTCAGAAGCGAACCAAGGGCACAAGCATAATGTATATAAAAACACAAAGTTCAAAAACTTAGCATTATACTAAATGTCCTTTGACCAGTAGCTGGTCATTTGCTGATAATAAACGAGCATAGAATCATAGAATTAATGAGTTAGACGAGACCTCGTGCGCCATCCAGTCCAACCCCCTTTCCGCCAAGAAGCAGGAAAATTGCATTCAAAGCACCCCCCAACAGATGACCATCCAGCCTCTCTTTAAAAGCCTCCAAACACTTCAGAGCAGAGAGTTCCACTGCTGAACGGCTCTCAGTTAGGAAGTTCTTCCTCATGTTCAAGTGGAATCTCCTTTCCTGTAGTTTGAAGCCATTGTTCTGTGTCCTAGTCTCCAGGGCAGCAGAAAACAAGCTTGCTCCCTCCTCCTTGTGACTTCCCCTCACATATCTATACATGGCATTTGCAGGGCTTGCTACACACACTGACTTTCATGTTTGTCAAGCATAGCTAAGCATGTTCTCCAGAGTCTACTGTAAACACTGCCTATTGTTGCTATCTGATTTGTGTAAATGGGTGGCATTCAGAAATCTGTTGTCGAATTTTTCATGATCCCAACATAGACTAAGGGGTCAGGACCCACAGTTTAAGAAGCCCAGGTCTATGGGACTTTTCATGGGAGCTCTCAGCTTTGTCCTCCTCTGTCACTGATTTCCTTACATGCAAAGTGAATATCTGAAGATGAGATGTTTCTGTCCACATAGACGCTTCTCCATGTCAGCAAGATCCCTGAATTGCTCAGGTTTCTTGCTCACATAGAGAACCTCCCAATGAGCAGGGCGTTTTCTTCAGACGTGAGTTCATTAAAGCACGGTAAGTCACACTTGAACAGAGCGAAAGCCTTTCCCACACGAGTAAACCTGAAACTTGACCCTCAGCACTTGTTAATCGAAGAATAAATGAGGCATGAAAAGGCAGATTTAATTAAATAGACTCTTTATTGTCTCACACATGCTTATATATTAAGCTATTAAATATATTATTATATTGCCATTCTGAAAAGCTTTGCACATTCTCTTTAACAAACTGTCAGGTGAAGCCAATGTAAACAAGAGGGACCATAAATAATCAGAAGAAAAATCTTTTAAATTGGTTTACAATGCAGTTGCACCAAAAGGCAAGAACATGTTCAATAAATATAAGGAACCCATAATCTCCCCTTTTTTCTTTGCATTCAAAGTACGTAATTTTTGACTAAAGGTTGCACAGCTTGTGGTATTTGCCCACTTCATTTCCCGCAAGTCCTGATTTACAAAAGGCAATAAACTAAATCATATCTCAGACAGTTGGGATGCTCAGACAATTCACTGAGAATCTTGAACTGAGGAGGCAGAACTACTAAATGCAATCATGCCGGTAAGCCATTCTGAATTTATACAGTACTCTGAACAAAGCTGTGTTGCTGGAAAAGGCCAGCCTGACTTTTGATTTCCTTGTCCTTTCACTGAAAGGGTCCCAATACTGCGTTTATCCTCAATTACCTCTATTTGTTTCACTTCGGCTGTGCGGATCCCTTCGTGTCCTTGTGTTTATTTTTTGCTCTCGCAATTCAGTGGCAGAGTTATACAAACTAAGTATATCATTGGCTTGAATTCAACAGTTATCATGAAAAATGTTTCAGATGGCTAAAAGGAAGACTTGAGGAACAGAACCAAATCTCAAGAAAAATGGGAAAGTTGCAGGGTTCTTCCTATTGATTCATGGAAAACCCATTCATAATAGAATAAATTATGCATGCTTTTGACCAGGGGTGAGTAACCGGTGTTCTCCAGATGGTGATGGCTGTATCTCCAACCAGCTTTCACCAGTGTAACCACTGGTGAAAGATGATGCATTCCACCACAGAAGACCACATCTCATTGTAGCATCAAACTTTGTTTTCAAAGGATCTTTAGTGAAATGCCTAAGATAGTGCATTTGCTAGGTCATTAGTTTCCGACATTTGAGCTTTCTCTAAGTCAATGATTCTCAACCGTGGGTCCCCAGATGTTTTGGCCTACAACTCCCAGAAATCCCAGCCAGTTTACCACCTGTTAGGATTTCTGGAAGTTGAAGGCCAAATCACCTGGGGACCCACAGGTTGAGAACCACAGCTCTAAGGGTTTTGGATTTGCACTGTTTCTTTAAAAAGTTTTGCCTTCCTTAGCATAAAGCCATCCTCAAAATTCTCCATCATTCATCGAGAAAATGCATTTCACTTTGTCACTCCAGAATAGGTTATATGTTGCATATATTTTATGAGTTGAGGCCTGAAGGAGACACATTTAGAGAATCAACACTGCTAAAGGATCCTTTGATATGTTCCAGAGCAGAGGTGAAACAAGACATAGTGCCTCAGCATCTCTGAGAGACCCCAAACAGACGCAATGCCATGTAGACAATATTCAGTCTTTTGGAGATATCTAGATCAAATCAGTGTGTTCGAGTACTATGCCTCTCTGGTGGTATGAATGCCTGATCTGGGAAACCTGAAACATACACATACCTCCCTCCTTCCATTTTGCTTCAACCTTTCCACAAAGCATTTAACAAAGATGTATGCCTAGCCTGGCAGATACCTTCTGATGAGTACAAGCTCCATTTTTGTGTTTGCTCAATGCTAACTAAATTCAAAAGACAAGACAGGGAAATGGGAAAGAACAGAACAGAGGGCTCTTGTCACTGTCACGGCATGGAAAACGGCGAAACCTATCCTTAGCTGAGGATGTGAATACTTATTAGCACATGGAAAGTTGAAGTTAATGAGAATCAGTATCACATATGCCAGGTCAATATTTCTACCGAAGTTAATGTAACTCTTAATAGCTGTATTACTTGAGAAGCAATCATATTCCATTCATTTATATCCCTGTCAAATGTATTAATTTTAATGCATAATTCTAGAGAGGCAATGCAGTACAAGTCTCCTGCATGATCTTGGCTAGTGTTAATAGTTTCCATGCTGTACCACACATACTTTTCTTATGTTTCTTATGTTTTCCCATCACTTTCTCTCTCCCTTCCTTATCCCACCAAGGCAGGAAATGCCAAAATACTTTCTAGGATGACTCAAGAAAATTTCCTGCATTAAAACATCACTAATTCCTGGCAGCCTTAAGGGATCTTTCTTAACACATCTGGTATTTAATGGAGAAAGACAAGTCAACGGGAATGGGCATTGTGCAGCCCAAACTGCTGTTACATGCAGCCCTCAATGTTATTTCAGTGTGGGCAGTGGAGAGGCAGGGCACAGCACACTCAAGGTGTTAGTGAGCTTTTGGGAGGCATTATTTTAGCTCTGGCAACTACCACCCTAGTTCACACATCAACAATTCCCCAACCAGGTTGTTGTAGGTTTTTCGAGATGTATGACCATGTTCTAGAAGCATTCTCTCCTGATGTTTCACCTGCATCTATGGCAGGCATCCTCAGAGGTTGTGAGGACCTCACAACCTCTGAGGATGCCTGCCATAGATGCAGATGAAATTCAGGAGAGAATGCTTCTAGAACATGGCCACGCAGCCTGAAAAACCTACAACAACCCAGAGATTTTGGCCATGAAAGCCTTTGACAATATTATTCCCCAATCTTCAACCAGTTATGTAGTATATTTTATGTCCATCATGTTAACACAGGTTACCAGAGACCAATCCGAAAAGTTCGTAACTCGTGCCCATTGAGGATATTTCTATGCCATTCCCCTAGTAGTTTGCAGGTATATTTTAATTAGCCCATAGGTGCCACTCACAGAGAAGAGGGAGCAATACATCTCCTCCCACTGCAGTTCTCTTACTACTCTTGGCAACAATCAGCTTGATACAGTGACAAGTATGCACATACAGATTAGCACTGTATGTGCACACTTGTGTATTAGTGCATGCCCACTAGCACCATGCTGTCAAATATCTATACCAGTGGTTCTCAACCTGTGAGTCCCCAAGTGTTTTGGCCTGCAACTCCCAGAAATCCCAGTGTTTGCCAGCTGTTAGGATTTCTGGGAGCTGAATGCCAAAACGTCTAGTTACCCACAGGTTGAGAATCACTGATCTATACTCTAAAGGGCACGGGCCAAAATTGTGTGATTGGGTTAATTAACTCCAAATTTTATAGTATACAGATCATGCCATCTTGGAATATGGATATATTAAAATGTGGTGCAAAATGTTTTGACAGCAGGTAGTAAAACATGGAGTAGGCAGTATGACAACTCTTCCCAACTTCACGGGATAATAGCATCTTCAAAAGGACGGGTTTTGGCTTCTGCTCCAAAGGAAAAGATCCCATGTCATATACACACATATTCCATATTGGTATCTGAGGATTCTCTGTACTATTACAACTAAGAATTCAGATACAAGAAAGCCCATTAAATGTCACTTCAGTACCTGGAATGGTCCTAAACTTCCATGTTTAAAGAGCAACAACAAAGGAGTAAGTGGCCAAGCATTTTGCATCGCAGATTAAGGTTGACCCATGCAACCTGGCAAAGCACTGGTAAAGCCAAAAGTGTGGAACAAAAAGACAAAAATGTGAGTGAATGTGAGCTTCTGAGGAATAAGGCATCTGAATGGCTGAGCTTCTGCTCTGTCCCAGTTGTGCAAATCTGGAAGACAAGTTTCCAGAACAAAGAAACACAGCAGTCATTTATTTTGGAAAGACGAGCAGAAGGGAAATCTAGTCACCACATCCTTGTAGCTCGGTAAAAGAGTCTGTCACCATACTTACCCTTTATAGTATGGACCATGGAAAGCAATCTGATTTATTCTGAACCAGCCACTGCCTTGAATTTATGTTGCTTTAGTCTCCTTGCTGAAAGCTCCTGTGCCAATGCATTACATATTGCACCAATTAGCATCACCAGCCTATAATACCACATGTTTCAAAGAATACATTACTTAAATCGGGTTTGAAAATAATACTAACAGTATCGTGTATTGACAGCAAAGATTTTAAACCTGAGCTGTGTTCGATGATTCTTAGGAGAAATAAAGGCTATCATAGATATTTAAAAACTCAGAAAGTGATTTCTTGCATTAAAATAAGACGGGACAACAAAATTCAAAGGGCAAGGAGAGAGAGAGAAAATGACAATCGCACTGTTAACTGAGCTCTGGGCTGATCTGCCATGAAGTCACACAGGAGATTGTCCCAGGTTAACATTCAAGTCCGATGCTGGCCAGCAGATTATCCAGAGCCTCTAGTTTTTGATTAGCTTCTTCAATGGCACTGTACGTTTGCACATTGCTGGTAATGTGGAAGCGGATGTCATCTACAAGAGGGATGGAGTCCGTCTCCTGTCTCTCCTCCACTGCCTCCGCATTCTCCTTAACTGCCACTGCAAACTCCTCAAGCTCCACTAGCTGGGAAGGTAAGAGAAATAGGGGAAAAGAAACCAGACAAACTTCAGAAAACACCTAGCACAGGGTTTTGACTTATATTTTTTTCCTTCCTGCAAAGGAAGAATCCTGATCGAGAATGCAGAATTCTCCATCATCTGGCTAAAACCTCTTGCTTCCCACAAAAATGTGCATAATCAAAGTACAGTGATACTTTGAGTTAAGAGTTTGATTTGTTCTGTAACTGGGCACCTAACCCAAATCACACATATCTCACAGCGAATGTTTTCCACTGAGTACATTTAAATGCTATTAATCCATTCCAGCCCCCCACCCATTTTTGCTACATGTTTCTAAATAAGAAAGAATAGATAACAAATAATGTATAATTGCACATTCATATTGAACAATAAAAAAGAAAACATGCACAATGGAGGACCTTCTTGCAGCAACACCAGAAGCACTCCAAGTGGCCAGATACTGGTCAAAGGACATTTAACCAACTACCAAACTCACAAGTTGTGTATTTTTCTGTTTGTTTGCTTTGTTCTGTTAGAAATGATCTCAGACAGGCCCCTACCTTGGCGGTTTTCAGAAAGAACCTGAAAACCTGGCTGTTCCAACGTGCCTTCTCAGATTAGGAACCCCACTACCAAAGCCCAGAAGCACTTTAGTAGAATCAAGATCACCCTCACCGCACACTGCACTTATATTTTAATCCTATATCCCTCCGACACTTCAGCACTTTTAATTCTGTACCCTACTCCTGGCCGGCTCAGTTTTTAATAATGTCCTGTTGTACTGCTACTGTTATTTTTTCTGCTTTAATTGTTTTATTTGCTATGTATTGTATTGTTGTATTGTGTTGGGCTCCGGCCTGTTGTAAGCCGCATCGAATCCCTTGGGAGATGCTAGCGGGGTACAAATAAAGTTATAATAATAATAATAATAATAATAATAATAATAATAAATGTAATATAATGGACTGGTTGCTCTGACACGACAAAATAAAAATAAAAAAGAAAGATCAGCTTTAAAATGGCAGAAGCACAAAATGGTGGCAAGGAAGTACAAAGTGAAGAGGCAGAAGCATCATCTTCATACTTTACTCATTTGAGCCTCCCGCCCTTCTTTGCTCTCTCTCACTCTCTCACACCATGAAGCCAAATATACCAGGAATAAAAACCACACAAAATGAACCAACCCAAACTTCCTCAAAGTGGAAAAGAGCACAACAGACAGTAATTTCCCAAAGCAGAAAAGAGCACAAGGCACAGAGGATGACCCCTTGAAGCCTAATGCCTTGTACTCCCTCTGTACTCACACTAGCACTCCCTCCGGCGCTAGTTCTTAACTAAAATGCTGCTGATGTGTCAAAGTGAACCCTGGGTTGAGTGACAGCTCATAACTCAAAGAACTCTTAAGTTGGGATGTTCTTAAGTTGAGGTTCTACTGTATATTCAAATTCCAGAAGGAAAGGCGCATCCTTCTAAAATAAGGGATTTTGACCACTGATCAGAACAAATTGGGGGGCATGACGTCTACTTCATCACAAACATCTCTTTCTTTGTGGATAATAATCCCACTCACCAAACATTTTAATGCTCAGTATCATTTTCCTCCACTTACTTAAAAAAGCATTTGTTCCATATCCCTGAGATAAAGAACCAGATCTTTATCATCTTTTGTCTTTGTTTTGGTCACAAGACCAAAACAAACATATTTCTCTCTCATGTTTTTGAGATCCAGTATTAATTTAATTAAGGAAAAGTCACTGCTAGTTACCACTTATATCAGGTCAACATGTCATAAAGTGAAGCATGACACACTTTAATTGCCATGGCTCAATGTTATGGAATCAGGGAGTTTGCAGTTTTAAAAGATTTTTAACCTTCCTTTTTGAAGAGTGCTGGTGCTTCACTAAACTACAAATCCTAGGATGCCACAGCAGGAAGCCATCACAGATAAGGTAGGATGAAACTGCATTAATTCTTCAGTGTAGATGCAGCCTAGGATGTAGCAAAAGAAGAACTCCCAGGCTGCTTAACAGTACTGAAGTTCAAGAGGCCCCATTTTTATTTAGAGCAGAGGGACCACTCCAAGAACCAGTTCTGGGCCCACGGCAAGCCAAGGAAAGCAGTGCTTGCTTCTTTTGAGCTGGAAGAGCAGAGAGGAGCTTTTTGAGTAAGAGAAACTGTTAGAAAATTATTTTCTTCTGTGTGTTTTCTCAAGGAGGAAAGATTTTCACACTTCTCCTGAAGTCTGTTAAGGAACGAATATTGCAGCTCATGTAGGAGTGCTAATTAGAGTCATTTATTTAAAAAAAATCAGTGAATTAATTTGGCTCCAAAACTGAGTAGAAGCAACATTGTTCCTGTCACATGGATCTGTCCGTACTATAACTGGTCAAGTGTGAAACGAAACAGAAAAGCAGGGAGTCTGCTTTGCTCCAGGGAAAAATGCTACAAATGGCACTACTGACCATTTATTGCATAATTTGGAATTCATTTCTGCTCCAATTTAATTAGGGCCACTATAACTAGCTCTAAAGATCCATTGGGAAGAAAGCATAAAGCAAATCAGAGATAAGGCAGCAGACTGATTGTTGGGTGGTGCTTTGAATGCGATTTTCCTGCTTCTTGGCAGGGAACTGGACTGGACGGCTCATGAGGTCTCTTCCAACTCTTATGATTCTATGATTGTGCTTGGATGCATTTAAATCAAACTCATGCATATGTCAAAAGGTTTGAGGGCCAATATTAGGATTTTGATATGGAGCAATTCATATTCCTGCAAAAATGACTTCCAACCTCTCTGCTCCCACAAGGTAGTGGCTTAAGCCGGTCCTTAAAACAAAGAGTGAATATAACATATAGTTTGTAACAGCATTCCTTATAATGAATGGATTTGTATCTGCGGAGCACCTGAAATTGAGAATATACCACACATATTATTTTACTGTAAATTGTATGAGAAGGTGAGAGACTTGTATCTTGGTCCACATTTCAAATGGCCCCCTCCTTACTGACATTCCGGAGGAAAGTGAAGACCTGGCTGTTTGAACAGGCATTTGACTAGCAGTGCAATTGATTGTTTAGCAGAACATGGATAACGATAAAGGATAACGAGACTGGATTCTGATTCTAGTTATGAGATCTGATGGATTTGTTATATTGATGTATTGATATATTGTTGTATTGATGTTTACTGTTAATTAACTTGTTATGTGATTGCTTTTAAATACCCAATAACCTTGTACTTTGTATACTGAAACTGTTGCTGTTAACCGCTCCAAGTCGCCTAAGGGCTGAGAGGAGCGGTATACAAATAAAGCAAATAAATAAATAAATAAATATTGAGAATCTCGCATCAAAACAATGTATTTTTTATGTGGCCAAGACCCCAAAATTACATAAAACAGCTCTGTATTTAAGCAAAACAAGCAAAAGCCCACTGCATAGAAAAGTCTCTGACCCATAGATCCCATTGCTGGCTCCAAAGCTAACTCCATGTGATAATTATACAGACCAAGACTCAAAGCTTATGGGAGAGCTTCTCACTCCTCAACATTTTCTCTCTTCATCTCACCCTACAGCATTCATTGCTATTCTGCAAAATGGGATAGTGTGTGTGGAAGCCTCCAGACACCGTTGGACTGCATCTCCCATCAGATTTAACCAACAAGCTGGTAGTACTGGTTCATAAGTTGTTTCAGTACCTCGTCAGTTGTCTTCTAGATGACTTACATATCCCATAGTTGGGCAAACCTTCCTCATGTTACCTTTTCAATGATCTTTGCCATATACTCTGTGCACTGATCCTCCAGCCGGGTCAGTTGGAACAGCTTTGCAATCTTCCAGATGCTGACAACACTGTCCTCGTCAAGAACTTGTGCCAAAGTTCTCCCGCAAAGACGTTTGAGTCCAGGCAAGAGATACATGTCTGCGACACAGAGCACCTCGTAGGCGTTCTCAGGAGACAGCTGTCGGGGGAAGGCACCTCAGTCAAAAGAGAACCACACTGATCACACCCAACGTTTTGCCTAGAAGCAAAAGTACAACTCACTATAACATTTCCACTGCTTCATCCGTTACTTATAGTATACTTGTGAGCTTAATATAAATAAATAACCTGGAGAGGTATAGCTCGTTCCAAATCTTGAATGCAGACAGAAAAACTAAACCAAGCAGACACACATCGGCCTCCAGGTATTTTGTACCAGCAAAAATACACACAGTATGAGCCTGTATCTGTGAGGGATACATTTCAGGACACCACAGGGATAGCAACAAATCCTATTATTTTAAATGGGGTGAACGACAGAAGTACGAAGAAAAATTATTTGTATGGGAGGCTCCGAGTGGATAAGTGCAATCACGGAGAAGTGAAACTTTATATCAATTCTGTGGATACAGGGATCATACTTTATCTAAAGCAGAGTTTCTCAAACTGTGCTCCTCCAGATGCTTTGGACTTCAGCTCCCACAATTCCTAATAGGTGGTAAGCTGGCTGGGGTTTCTGGGAGCGGAAGTTCAAAACACCTGGAGGAGCACAGTTTGAGAAACACGGATCTAAACAATTGTCAGACATGCAAATATCTTTCATGGCATCCACCAGACATTTTGTGCATTTTCAGTGTAGAAAAACATCACTAAGAAGGTGGTCTCAATTTATTTTAAGAATTACGACTGGACTAAAGATGACAGCCTAGTACACATATTCAACCCAAAGACGATTTGATGAGGCTGCAAGATTCAGTTCTACAGAAGCTATTTTTGTTTGTATTTTTTTTTCATAACTCTTTGCTGCTCTCAAATTCTTGTCTTATAGAAGCTCTCTTCTAATAAATTTGATATAACATTTCATATTTTGAGGGAAATACAGAATGATGGTTTATCAAGCCCCATTGTTTAACTCCCCAGAAATAATAATAATAATAATAATAATAATAATAATAATAATAATAGGATTTAAAGATTGAACTGCAAAAACTCTGGCACAAGCCAGTCAAGGTGGTCCCAGTGGTGATCGGTACACTGAGTGCTGTGCCGAAAAACCTTGGCCTGCACTTAAACACAATTGACGCTGACAAAATTACTATCTGTCAGCTGCAAAAGGACACCTTACTGGGATCTGCACGCATTATTCGCCAATGCAACGCACAGTCCTAGATACTTGGGAAGTGTCCCACATGTGATCAAATACAAAAACCAGAATAGCAATCTTGTTTGCTGTGCACTAATCTTGTTATGTATCAAATAATAATAATAATTAAAGTCCAGGTTCTCATGAAACAGCTCGGCATAGTTTATATAACTCGATTATAGGTTGCTAAATAACACTCTGTCATAGGATTACTGCCCACATCAGAGTCCCAAAGCCATGTCAACTAGCAATTATGTTGCATAATCTGAAAAAGATACAAACATGAAATAACAGAAAGTACATGCGAATTAAACCTGTAGCAAGAACATTAATTCACAATTTCCCTCAAGGGAGTGGCTTTTCTCCTCTGTGTTTATATAACTTATCACTAAATCAACAAAAGCGCAGTTCTTCACAGCGTAGCACTAATATTTTTCTACAATCGGCAAAAACATGTAATATATGGAACCTAAATCATTAGGATTTTTAAAAATATATAATATGCTAATGGTAGTTTGCGCTGAAGTTTATATCAAACCCCCAAAGTCATCTTGAGCACTCAAGAGAGAGCCCCTGAGGCACCACCAAACCTCCTCATCTCCCCATCTTTCTCCATTATCAGCTGAAAGGGGATTAAAAAATGTGCAGAGATGAGTAAGGTAAAAGAACAACTTTCAACTTCATGTACTTTTCAAACTGAGGTGAGCAGCCAAGCAAAAAATTAAGCAACCAGCAGGAAAACCACCCTGTAAAAATGATTTTCGAAGACAGATGGAAAAATGGCATGAGTGGGGATGATCAACAAGTGTGTGCTTGTGGAGGGGGGAATGAAGTGTGGCTTTTCCCTGTGTCTTTTTGTTCTCCCTGCCCACTTCATCTCTGTGTTCCCTCCACTTCACACCCTATGAGTCCATTTCTGCTCTTTCTTTCCCTCCATACATCTGTCTGTACTTCCATCTTGCCTCTTTCTCTGGTTCATCTCAAAATATGTGTCTGTGCCAGGTCTATGCTGTCTATGTGGTTTATTTATGGCACAACTTCTCTTCTGTGAATGGGAATATTTCATGGCAGCGCTTTGGGAATGATATCCAACTGCTCACCCTAGGATTGCTTTGGCGAGTGGAAAAGCAGATCAATGGATAAAGGGAATAATTCAGGGTTTGTCTCAAAATGCCAATGAGGGGGCATATATAAGAACCAGATGGCAACTCTCAAAACCTTAATCTTTCATTGAGCATCCTCTTTAAATAGCCCCATAAATAAGGGCTGTTTTCTCAGCACTATGAGGGAAAGACACAGAGTTCTTTCTCCCACCCTAGACATTCAGCAGATATATAAACCTCACTTGCCTAGTTTCCAACAGACCTCACAACCTCTGAGGATGCCTGCCATAGATGTGGGCGGAACATCAGGAGAGAATGCTTCTGGAACAGTGTTGCTGCTGTTTGGAAAGGAAAACAACCACACTCCAACACAATTCCCACAAAGATTTGTTCTTGGTCCACATAACCGGAAAAAAATCAACTAAAACTATTCATTTGTTATGCTGAATTTTATACTGGAATAAATCAATTGGAGCAGACACTGTGGTGATAATTCACTGACATACACAAAAAGGCAGTCATTTAATGACATACTCTTGGTTATCAACAGAAATCAATGTATTGATATGGATAATTTGAATTCCCTAATATCTGTTCTCCCTCAGTAATAATTCATGAGGAAATCTAGTTATATCTAAGGATGGTGTAGACATGCCTTTTTCAACAACATAGGAGGGTTATCCAGAAAGTAAGGTTACAAGGCACGTAGCTCTCGCAGGGAATTTTCTCGGGGGAAGTTGGTATCACTGCTGTGTAGTGAAAGCAACAGTGGAAGCAAACGAGCAGTGCCAGTCGTCAGGAGCTCATCAACTGGCATTATGGTGAAGGTAAGAGATAAGCATCTCATTCCGTTTCCCTCCAAGTGTGAAGTTCGCGCTGTAGTAGTGCTACCTAAATGCTAAGGGCATGAACGCCGCTGCGCTTCATCGTGAAATCGTTTCAGTCTATGGAGAGGACGCAATGTCAAGACAGCATGTGACAAAATGGGTACAGAATATATTGTGAGACCATGAAGAAACTTCGCAGAGCCATCCAAATCAAATGTGGGATATTGAAGGTAGGAGTCTGTCTCTTTCATGACAATGCACGTCTGCACACTGCTCATGCATCCCAAGAGTTGTTGGCTCCATTGGGTTGGGATATTTTGAGCCACCTCTCTCACAACTTTGATCTTGCACCCAGTGACTATCATCTGTTCACTAAATTGAAGGAACACCTGGGTGGAAAACACTTTTTCGAAGATGAGGAGGTTAAAATTGAAGTGACAAACTGGCTGAAAAAGGCGGAGGGAAACTTCTATGACATAGGCATCAAAAATTCATCCCACAGATGACAAAATGTATTGAACTGAATGGTGATTATGTGGAAAAAATAATGTAATACCTATGCTACAATCCATGTAAGTTTTATTAAAATATATTCATTCTTTGTATTTTAAAAAAAGCTTATAACCTTACTTTCCAGATAACCCCCACACATTTTCAACATAGTTTTAGAAGTCTAGTGTGCAAAGAACATTTAAAGTCCAACAGCACTGCAAACAGAACACAGAAGGGGAACAGACACCATGTAAAAGCACCACGAACCTAAACGAATAGACCACACAGTAGCTGCATCCCAAAGATGGTAGCAAAGATGCCCACTACAAGTTATGGAGAAGTGTTCAGTCTGTGAAGGCTTGTGGCATTATCCAAGAAGAAAGAGGCTTCAGTCCTGCTACAAAAAAGCTGCCTTGGTCTTTAAAAAAAGACCAGCAACAAGAGTCCTTTCAAACCTCCCTTATGAACTAAAGGAAAACAAAGACAGATGGCTTTATTGGCAGCTTCATTCTTGCCCTGCAGGAAGACAGATCAAAGGAAAAGGGAGACAGAAAAGCCTCAGAGAGAATTCATTCCACAGAGCAAAGTGTGCTCTCCTAACTCTCCATCCAGTCCAGACCAGCAACGCAAGTACCCACCAAATGCAATCCATTCCAGATCAATAAACTTGGGAGTGAGACCTGGATAGCAGCTAACTTTGCTACTGGAAAAAGATGACCTTCCGTTTCTTCTCAGGATAAATTTTATTTCCCTAAAGGATGGTGGATAGAAAAAGAGAAGGTAGCTCTTTGCAAAAATCAGCCAGTATCTAAAATCTCCCAGTGAGGGACAGTGGCAGCTATTCTTCAGCTCTGAATATGCTCCTACTTCCCAGTGTGCAGTGTTTTGGAGCTCTCTACCATGGACGGCATGGATACAATTTCTTTGGAGACAAGAATTCTACCTCCCACTTCTCCTGTCACTCCAGTAGCCAAGGGGAGTTGGGAGTTGTTTTGATGCATATTTGCTTTTCAGGGCATTAGCAAGAGGTTTGACAAGCCAATATTTTCCCAGAGGCTTCTTCTGAAGGTCCTCATTACTGTGAAGGGCCTTTGCTGATGGGTTTTTCACTCCGCAAATTCAGTACTCCTGGCTGTTCATGTGCTATTTATTTATTTATCGTGTCATCCGCAACCAGAACATTGTATTACATTTCTAACAGAACAAAACAAACAGATAAAAACACACACACACACACAAATTTTGCAAACTTGGTAGCTGATTAAATGTCCTTTGACCAGTATCTGGCCACTTGGAGTGCCTCTGGTGTTGCCGCAAGAAGGTCCTCCATCGTGCATGTGGCAGGGCTCAGGTTGCATTGAAGCAGGTGGTCTGTGGTTTGCTCTTCTCCACACTCGCATGTCGTGGATTCAACTTTGTAGCCCCATTTCTTAAGATTGGCTCTGCATCTCGTGGTGCCAGAGCGCAGTCTGTTCAGCCTTCCAAGTCGCCCAGTCTTCTGTGTGCCCAGGGGGGAGTCTCTCATCTGGTATCACCCACGGATTGAGGTGCTGGGTTTGAGCCTGCCACTTTTGAACTCTCGCTTGCTGAGGTGTTCCAGCGAGTGTCTCTGTAGATCTAAGAAAACTAGTAGGTATGCCACTGGGCATTTTCACATCTACTTCTTTTTTGTGTTCTTATTAAGCAGTGCCTGCTGCTATTTCAAAGGCAATGTAACTCCTTATGTCTGCTATGCTGAGATATGTTCGAAGTACTGAGTAAAAGATGCAGTACTCATACTAAAAGGAGCAGTCCCAGTTAGGAATATTTTGGCGGGAGGGGGGGGTTATATCCATGACTTTGGTCTCAATATGGAAGTAGAATGTTATACAAAGAGCAAAACATATGCAGGGTATATCTAGGTATGTTGCAAAGTATGTGGTGGTACTGCCCTCTAGCGGCAAGAGGGCCACACAGTGTACTGTAATGCTTTTTGATTTCCATAGATAGATATTTTTCCATTGGCATCAGAAAAATAAACTACATGAAGGACAAGGACTGATAATAGGAAAAATATATTGACGTAAAGGAAATATTTTTGAGGAGAAAGAACCACCACGAACAATTATGGACAAGTGTGGAATATAATTCACTTCTAGCTCCGAATAAAGCATAGGCCTGAGACTGATAAACAAGGTACTCAGGATTCATGACAATAAGCAAAAAAATTAGAGACATCGGTTAATGAACCGATAAGGAGCTAAAGGAGAATGATAACTCATATTCAGATTCCATCTACACTGCTATACAATGCATTTTCAAACTGCATTAGATAGTTAATGTAGACTCATAACATGTAGTTCAATACAGTTAAACTGCATTATAGGGCTGTGTAAATCACAGAATCATAGAGTTGGAAGAGCAAAGACAATAAGCAAAGACAATTTCACAAGGTAATTCTCATGATCCTATGGTTGTGATACTGTCAAGGGGTCAGGCCGCACTGATCAAATTTAATGTCTCCTTGTGGTGCTCCTTGTATTTCTTTGCCAATGTAAACTAACGTCAAAACTACACAGAGCCCTTTCTGTCCCTTGCCACTGCCCTCTGGATTGCAATGTATAAACAAATCAAAGATGACCAAGAAGCCAAGCCTCACCTCTGTGTCGTCACTGTAGATGTAATAGAGGACCCTGATAAAGATCTCCTCCGAAATGTCATGAAGGGTCACCACAGGAATGCTGGGCTGCGTCTGCAGCTCCTCGCTTTCAGAAAAATGATCCTCTAAGAGGGCTTTGAAATAGTCACTGCGGCCACAGAAAAATGCCTGCAAGCAGAAAATAAAACAAGCCTGAGACACTGGCATCTTCTTAGCTAAAAGGAGCAACCAACCAAGAAAGCAGCCCAGAAACACTCTGGGACCACATGATGTACAGCATTTCAGATCTACCATCAAGGAAAGAATATTCAGTGTTGTAAATATAGCAAAGGAAAAGGTCTCCCCTTCACCTTAAGTCTGGTTGTGTCCAACTCGTGGAGGGGCTGCTCATTTCAATTTCTAGGCTGAAGAGCTGCCATTGTCGGTAGACACCTCCAAGATCATGTGGCCAGCATGACTGCATGGAGCACCGTTACCTTCCTGCCAAAGCGATAGCTATTGATCTATTCACATTTGCATGTTGGCAGAATCTGGGCCTAGCAGCAGCAGCTCACCCCATCATGTGTATTTGAACCACTGACCTTCCAGTCAGCAATACTTGCAGCTTAGCAGTTTAACCCGCTGCATCACCGCAGCCCCTATATTACAAATGTAGACTCTCACGTTATTTCACATTACTTAGTTCCCCCCTTTATTCAGCTACACATCTACTGTATAGTGTTACCGGATTTAGACAGCTACGTTGGCCAGTTCAATCACTGCTTCCAGAGACCAAAGACATGCAATGATTTTCTGATTTTAAAGCAGAAGCATCATTGTGAGTGGCTGCAGATCTGTAATTGCTGTTTCTGCTGCATCAGAGAACTGCTGCTACGTGTCTGAGGGAAATAACTACACATAATCATTTAATGCATTGAGAAAAACTGTCAATCTAGTAAGTTCTATCATTTTGAACATGATAAAACTGCAATCTGTTTTTTTTTAAGTAAGTTGATTATTAATGCACTGCTCCCATGAATGTAGTCCTGCTGTGACACCCCCCCCCCCCCCCCCCCCCCCCGCTGCCATTCAGATAATGTACCTCTGCCAATAACCTCTCGTGAATTAAGATTTGGTGCACTATCCCTAGAACTCTAATGGGAAGGAAGCCCATGAATCTCAGTGGAAATTACTACCAAGAAAACATGCATAAGGTTATGCTACAAATACTTCACTTGTTAGGCAGGGCTGCAATAAGAAATACTGGGGGTGATTTCCTTTGAACCGTGTTTTCCAAGTTTAGTTTCAAAACCAGCAGCTGGATACGTGTATGTCTTTTTTTGTCTTAAAAAAAAATTCTTCCCCTTTGTTGATGTTGGAAGATTCAAGAAAAACAGCACTTTTGAAGTCGAAAAGCACGTACCTTGTGGCACAAGAAATTGTAGTCTGCTACCCGGAAACACACATCAGGACAGCTGCTGAAGTTGTCTGTGCTGTCGAAAGGCAACTCTCCAAAACCTACCTGTACACATAGAAAAATTCTGTTACTTTCTCTTCATTAAATCCATTTAATGACAGGTGCTTTAATATTTGTTGTTATAGTCAAACCTGAAAATATGGGGGTGGGGGGAGAGCAACTGCATATAATGTGAATTTGAGACATAAGGATTCCTTTTTTACTGGGGCCAGACAGCTGCAGCCTACTTTGTAATGTTTTATCAAAATTAAAAAGTGAGCCAAACTTGGTTTAAGATTTTTGAAATCTAGTAAGTATAGTTTCCTTCTGGGAGTGTCATGGGTAGGTGAAGATATGATTATACAGTTGCGTTAATAGAAAATAGGATAGTTCGAGGCTGTGCTGTGATGCCAGATAGAGAACACATTATCCTGACTGACAAGCAGCAAAACTAGCCTATAGTTACCTAATGAAAATGGAAGTGACATACACTTTTAGAAATAATTTTTTTTATGTCCAGAGCCATTCGCTAGAGAGAAGGGGAAAGGAAGCAGTTAATATTGCCTTCTAGTCCATCTTACATTTTTTCAAAGAACCTGCACTTTGTGCATGGAGAGGGGAATACCACAAAATACATACAGGCTAACGGGGGAAAACACAGAGAGGGAAAAATCTCCTGTTACAAATCTGTGTCCTAAATAAATTTTAATGCTTGAAGGACTCCTAAATGTACTACATATTTATTCCATTTTGCAAGAGTACCATGCATGTGTAAATGGTGTTTTTCATTAGCCCAACCTGTGGGTCCCCAGGTCTTTTGGCCTACAACTCGCAGAAATCCCAGCCAGTTTTCCAGCTGTTAGGATTTCTAGGAGTTGAAGGCCAAAACATCTGGGAACCCATAGGTTGAGAACCACTGTCATAACAGAAAGGCAACAGCCATGTTTCAAGTTGTGAGTGGACATAGCAATTCCAGATTTCAAATCTAAAATTAAGAGAAAAGTACAACTATTGTACATCCAGTACTGTAGGGCATCCAGGATAGTCCGGATTATGGCCCAGTTTATTAATGCCTTTCAATATCACAATTAATTAACATTGCTCCATAGATTGTTGCTGACACATCACATTGCACATTAGCAGTTTACTTTTGTTGGCAAAATTATTAATTGGGGAGTTTCTATCAGTGATATTGCCACACTTGAATCTCAGTTTTAGGCTTTATCATATTGGGAAGGAGAGGGAGGGAAAGTTTAAGTTTAGTGATCTAATAAGGAAGTAATCTGTAAAATGCCAAAATTAATCATTGTTGAGTATTCGTGTTTGTAAGTAATTTCTATTCCACTTGAAGGCACAGATTATAATCCCCTGCTCTCTACCTCTCGCCTTCACAAAACACATAATTCCTTGTGCACACTATGAAACAATGGACCAGGCTCAAGTAGGTGTGGTGTCCACATTCCACACATGAATCCAATTATCGTTTGGGAGGAATAGTTTGACAAATGAAGTACACATCTGATACGAGAGATGTTTTTTCATATCTTTATGCCAGAAAGGAGAATGTACACATGTAATTATTTCTTTTTGTTTCATTTATATGCTGCCTTTGTCCTGGACCATGACCCATGGTGGCTCACAAAAGCACAGGCTATTTCTGTCTCTCACCACACCACATTTCCCAAGCATTTTAAACACTGCTTCTGGATTTCCCTCAAAATGTTATAGGGCTCAGTAACAACAAGGCACAATCAATTCCACAAGGAAAGAGTGGCTGGAGAAAAAAATGGATACCTTTTCACCCTATTTTCCCATGAAAATGGTTTTTAACATTAAATCCATGGCACACTTGGGAGATAAAAATGGAAATGCAGGAGGGCAGCATCTCAATTTAAGGGTCACCAGCCTGCTCAAATGGTTAAAGATGAAAACAATGGGACACCAGAGTCCGTGCCTTTTTTGATTGTTTAAATCAGAAGAATCCAGTGCCTTTTCTGAATGCCCTTTAACTGCAACAGTGATTCTAAAGCTATCTGAGGTGTTAGACCAGCAATGTGTAATCCTGTCAATTGCTCCCACTTTGCTTGATAATAATAACTGCATATTTTGTGCTATCTGTATGTGCGTCCTTTCTCAAATTGCCTGTTGATTTATGGGAACCCCGTGAATTTCACTGGGTTTTCTTAGGCAATATATACCCAGAGGTGGCTTTGCCTGATCCTGCCTCTCAAATACAGCTCACAGCTCTTGGCAATAATGGACAGAAAGTGCACTCCTAAAACAGAACTGAAACACCATTGTGCAATGCAATATGAATGAAAATGTGTTTATACAACAACCAGGTTAGATTTGCTTCACCATATGCTGAAACATATTCGGCTTCAAATAATTGACTTCTCAGGGGAAGCAAAAGAAATCTGCACAATATTGGCAGAGGGAGTAGATAAAGGGGGAAAAATCAGTGTAAAAAAAAACAACCGTCTACTTGGCAAAGAGGTATTTGGCGAATGCAGCTCAGGAGTAACCTGACACATTCCAAGGAAAAAATGCAAGGCAATAAACTACTCCTCATTTATGCTGTTAAAGCTTACAATGAATTTGCCACGGGGAGCTTATTCCGGGCACACCAAAACAGTATGTTTTATTGAACTGTTGAAATGTGAAGTCCTTAAAAGCTTCTTTAAATGAAGACCACATTTCATTTGTTTACTCTTGTTGCGGATCCAAATAAGAAAGAGAAAAATCACATGAAGTAAAAAGACTAAAATGGTTTTACTTAAAATTCAAAACCAACACTAAAGGGATGATTACTAAGACACTGGTGAATATGTTTTAAATCCAGTCATGGGATGAATGAATCGGGTTTGGCTTCATGTTACTTTCACAAAACCAATACAAAGATGTTTAGGTGTTCTGCTGAACATCTTCATTTCTGAAAAAAGGGACCCTGTCATCTCCACCTGAATACAGGTTTGCATTTCCTCTGCATTTGGAAGCACAGGAACCTGTCTTATAGTGATACAGATCACCAGTTTATGGAGCTCAGTACTACCAACTCTAACTTGCGATAGTTCTCCATGGTTGCAAGCACAGCTTTTTCTAAACCTTCCCTGAAGATTTCTGGTATTTCCTGATAACCTACCCTGTTTAACTTTCAAAATTAGATAAGACTGGATGTTTTGAGGGTGATAAAGATCTCTGGGAGAAAAAACATCTCCCCAACACCATGTTCCCTTCTTAGGTATGAAAATGTGTGACATTTTGAGAAAACTGAGAATACAAGAACTCTCTAGTATATGTAAGATGAACTACATTGTAATACCAAGTATCTTGTTTTACAGACGTACCTGCACTATATTATACCAAGGTTGTTGTTTCTTTGTTCAGTGCTTCCACCTCTTCCATGACCTCATGGACTAGTTCACGCTGGAGCTCCCTGTCAGCCAAGGCCACCCCCAGCTCCTTTAAGGTCAAGCCTTAAAGGATAACATCCATCCATCTTGCCCTTGGTCGACCCCTCTTCCCTCCATTTTCCTCAGCATCATTATCTTCTCCAAGCTTTCCTGTCTTCTCATTATGTGGCCAAAATACTTCCTCTTGGCCTCTAATATCCTTCCCTCTAGTGAGCAGTCGGACATTATTTCCTAGAGTATTGACTGGTTGGATCTTCTCGCTGTCAAAGGCACACCACAGTTCAAAAGTGTCTATCTTCCTTTGCTCAGCCTTCCTTATGGTCCAACTCTTGCATCCATAGGTTACTACAGGGAAAATCATTTCATTTGCTATGTGGGGCTTTGTTGCCAGTGTGATGTCTCTACTCTTATACCAAGGACTAACAGATAATTCTTAATTTGGAATGAGCCAAGCTAAATATCCAATATTGCCTAAATATCCTAAAGGCACCAGATCCCATCTGATCTTGGAAGCTCCACAGGATCATCCCTGGTTAGTACTTAGAGGGGAGACTGCCAGCAAATACCAGGTGCTGTAGGCTATTTTTCAGAGGCAGGAACTGACAAAACAGCCTGTGAATAATCCTTGCCTAAGAAAACACTTCAGTATTCATGGATTCAACATAAATTGATAAGTGACTTGAAGGCACATACAGCAACAAAACTGATCACGTGCATGTGATTGTATTCCTTGTGAATTTTGTAAAACCCTTATAAAAGCAAAGACAAGAAGGAAAGCTGGCACTTGAAAAAGCCAAATGTGGTATATTGATTATTAGGAAAACATTCCATACGAATGAGGTAAATGGCATTTGTTGCAGATTAAAATACAGAAAGATCACGTAACACATACATGCTTATCAAATTTGGAGATAATACCAAACTAGGGGAGTAGATAAGACAGAAACAAAACAAGCTTGACAGACTGGAGAGCTGGGCCATAACTGACAAATTGTAGCAGAGATAAATGTAAAATGTTACACTTAAGTAGGAAAAAGGAAATCATAGAGTTGGAAGACACTATAAGGGCCATCCAGTCCCACCCACCTACCATGCAGGAATACATGTTAAAAACATTCCTGACAGATGGCCATTCAGTTTCTGTTTTATGATCTCAGAAGTAAGAGAATTCACCACACTCCAAGGCATCATATTCCACAATCAGATGGCAATTACCACGAGGAAGATCTTTCTAATATTCAGGTGGGATCTCTTTTCCTACAGTCTGAATCTATTGCTTCAAATCCTATTCAGTGCAACAGAAAACAAGTCTACTCCATCTTTAGTATGACATCCTTCTAAATATTTGAACATGGCTATCATGTCCTCTTTTAACCTGCTTACTGGAACTAAACATACCTCTCTAAGATGCTCGTCATAAGTCTTGGCTTCTAGACCTTTGACCACTTTGGTCACACAAATATAGGATGGTGACAACAGATTTGATAGTAGCACATGTGAAAAGAACCTAGGGGTCTTGCCAGACCTTCAGAGTAAGCATGAGTCAACAGCAGCCAAAAAACAATTAGGAATATAGTAGATGGAGCAAAGGAAGTAGCAGTGCTATTTTGGTTTGGTCACACATCACCTGGAATTTCATCATAGTAAAATGAAAATATTGACAAACTGGATCATGTTCAGAGAAGAGTGACCAAGATGATGATAGGTCACTTTACATTTCTCCTAGTGACAGAAAACATACATCTCTTAGCCTGTTGGCAGATGTGTCTACGCACTCACATTATGCTTCTTGGCGGCTGGCACAATAAGAATGATTCAGCAATGGAATCAATTGCTTAGAGAAATGCTGAGGTCTCCTCAAGATGTCTTCAAGGAGAACCAGTATGGCTACCTGCTGAGGATACTCCAGCTGAGACCCATGAGGCCACTTCCAATTCTATGGTTCCACCTGGCTGGCCTTATAATGCTAAACTTGATATCCTTTAGACTGGTCTTAACTAGTAGAGAAATAAAGCCTTCTCATGGAAATTCAAGTGAAGAGACGTTCTACGGGGAGTTAGAACCACCTGTTGTCTTGAAACTTTGAAATACACTTGGGTATTGAAACTGCTTTCTAAATATTCACAATACAGTTTGTATTCTTCAGCAGTGTATGCTATAGAGGAATGAGAAGGCTTGTTGGAATGTTAGAAACCAGATACAGTAAAGCAGACAATTCTATCTTCCACAGAACAGTAGTGTAGGAAATTCAATGCAGGCTCATTGCAGGACAATTCATAATAACATAGGAATTCTAAGACTAGACCAAATATAAAGGGGGAAGGAAGCTGAAAAGAAGAAATAAATGCTGAACTGGCATGCTTGCAACATGGAAACGGGAGTTCAAACGTACCCAAATGATAACTATGCGGCCCAAGGAAAAGAAGCAAGGGGAACGGAATACTGAAGTGGAAAAACTCAGTAAGGAGAGAGCGTGGGATGGAGAGAAATGAATGTTTTCCTACCCTGAGTTCAGCTGGAAGGGCACAGTCTGCTAGCAGAGCCAGGTCTTCCTGCAACCTTGAGTTACCTGTGGGCTCAATTGTTAGCACCTTCACGCAAGTTCCTGGCTTGGAAGAGACTGAAAGAAGCAAAACAAAAACAGATCCAACATTCAGAATGCAGAGCACACTATGGACATCTTTTGGGAAAGGTTACTTATCTTTGGGCTGAATTTCACGTTCTGCTGCCAATTAAAGCTGAATTTTCACCCCAGCTCATGTAAAAGCAATAAGCAAAAATAAGGTTCTCACATAGGGCCTCTCACCACCTTTTTCAGAACAAATCAAAGCAGAACAGATGGCTTAGGATTTGATGAGCCATATTTAAACCCCAAGGAACCCAACTCTTGGAAGTTAAAGATTGTGTTGCAATGTGAATGGGTCCAACAACGTCACAGAAATGTCAGGAGAAATCAAGAAATACCTTGTGAACATTGTCTACATATTTACAATCATGGGGTTGTTTTTAGTCAAAACAAAGCTCCTTTGGCTTCTACAAAATGAAATGTAGCCAGTTCTATTCATCTCAGTAGTAAAGGTAAAGGTTTCCCCTTGACATTAAGTCTAGTCGTGTCTGACTCTGGGGGGTGGTGCTCATCTCCATTTCTAAGCCAAAGAGCTGGTGTCCGTAGACACCTACAAGGTCTACGGACGACTGGCACGACTGAATGGAGCACCGTTATTCATCTCAGCACAAATATAATAAATATAATAATAAATACATAAATTGCAAGTGTATCTAAGGAAGAGCAAAATAAATTCTAATGCACTGTGGATTACGTTTAGCAGATGCTTTATGGATTACATTATGGATGTACATGTTAGTTTTCTGTAAATGGAAGAGGAGCCAGAATAACTAGTATAGTGAAATGGTCTGTTGAAATTGACACTGAATCATGAAAAAGAACTAAGTTTTTCTGATGAAGCACTGGTTTCTCATATACTTATTACATTGAGTCCTCTCCTGTCTCCCATCCTTATAACACTATCTTGTCAGCTTCCTGCCACGGTGGGCTTCATTTCAAGAAGACCTCTTTATCATTATGGTTAATACACCTAAACTGGGCTAAAAAGAAAAGGAGAAGGGATGCTACCATTCTAGCACCTTCAGAATAAAGTGCTTATTGCATTATGAGGTTTTGTAGCCAGCAGATGAAATAGGCCAGTTATCACTGTGATAATTTAGAAGACTTTCTTAGGTTACAAACCAGGAGGCCTATAAAGAAGGATTCCTCTGCCAGTTATCGAGTTAAAACTGTGGCAGAAACAAAGTTATCCTGACAGGCATGAATTGGAAAGATTTGCTCTCCCAAAACCTTACCCAGAGATGCCAGTGTTCTTGATATTTAACAGATTACCACACCAAGCCAAATCCTGATAGTTGCTGCCCAAAATATAAAGAGTAGTAGTGAGACTGGGAAACTTACCAAATTCATAGACCTTTTTACACTTGGTTTCCAAATCTTCAATAAGATCCTGGAGCCGACATTGCTTAGCCAATCTTTTGCAGTCACTCACATATTCAACATCTATGTCTAATCGACCTAGCAAAGAAAAAAAAGAACAAAATCAAATGATTATTTCAATCAGTTCCTTTATTGTCTCCTCTGTTATTCAGCAAGGTACAATCAATCCTTAAAAACCACAGCTGCAAATGTAAGCTTGTGCACCACCTTGTGGCTTGAGGAAACACTGCATTTATGTTTTCTAAAACCAACCATTTATAGTTAGGATTTCATCACACTAGAGATGCTCTAGTGTGATGAAGTTCTTGGTTAGTCCTGGTCTAAATACCCTAAAGACATCAGATCCTGTCTCATCTTAGAAGTGAAACTGGGCCTGGCGTGGTTGTACTTGGACAGCACAGCCAACAAGCATCAGGTCACGGTGCTGTAGGATATATTTCAGAGGAATGAATTAGTAGAACCACCTGAATATTCCTTGTTGAAGTAAGCCACACTTACATTAATGGGGTCTCCATAAATTGACATGTGGCTTGAAAGTGCACACATACACACAGAGTTGCCATATTTACTTGAATCTATTGCACATGTTTTTAGCCAAATAATATTATGAAAATAAGGATGCATGTAGGCAAGGTTTGGGTGAGAGTGAGCACACACTTATGCACGTGGGCCTCCTCTCTTCCCATCCCTCAGCAATGGCAGCTGTGATGGCGGTCTGACAACAGAATCCTGTTGGCAGCTGGCAGGACTTTTCAGCCTCCCAGCCAACTGACCTTTAACATATTGAGAGTACTCCACCTGAGGAGTAGTGATGCACCAAGTTTCCAGACCCGGGCGCTAAGCCAATGGCAGCTGTGAGTGGTAGAAGTGAGTAGAGGTGCTGGGGTCCAGTGGGCTCTTGACGGGGACGTGAGTTGGGACGGGCTCCAACAGCCTGCTCAGTAAACACAAACGTGCCCTCTGGAGAGGACTGTCATAGCCGGCTGGGGGCATTTTTTGCCAATGTACATTATATTTGCCAGAAAATAGGTTTTGTTGTGGGTTTTTTTGTTTGTTTTTTTGGTTTCAGGGTTTTGTAAATTGAGGTGAGAATTAGATTTGATGGTGCATTAGATTTGAGTAAATACGGTATTTCAACAACTGATCTTGAACCAACTCTTACAAAAATGTTCAATGGTGAGGCCCAAGAGAATTCTGTTTCATCATGTTGCTGTTTATATCTAAGCAGTTACAATATAAATCTTTAACCAAATACATCAATATTCTAAGTACAACATATAGTAAAGGTAAAGCTTTCCCCTTGACATTAAGTCTATTAATGTCTTACTCTGGGGGGTAGTGCTCATCTCCATATCTAAGCTGAAGAGCCGACGTTGTCTATAGATCCCTCCAAGGTCATGAGGCTGGAATGACTGCATGGAGCACCATTACCTTCCTGCCAGACTGGGACCTATGGATCTACTAACATTTCCATGTCTTCAAACTGCTAGATTGGCAGAAGCTGGGAGTAACAGCAGGACCTCACCCTGCTCCCCGGATTCGAACCACCGACCTTTTGATCAGCAAGTTCAGCAGCTCAGCGGTTTAATCCACTGCACCACCAGGGGCTCCAGTACCACATATACTTGTGTGTAACTCAAGAGTAGATTTTGGGGACAAAATTATGAAGGTCACCATGACCCATGAACAAATGGAGGGTAAAACTTGGGAGCATGTAACCAATCTTTTCCTCTCCTTTTAAAATGCATATAGAAAACATGATTAGGAAGAGCTAGAGAAGAGAATAAGTTTATTTGATGGCTTGCAGGTGAGTTTACAATAGCATTCCTGATCTTAAAATGTATACATCTATACAAACATAAATAGGGAAAGGAATATAAATGAGGAAAAAGAATGAGAATGCAGCCTGAAACAAAATGGAGGACAGAAGAGCAAGCAAAGCAACCTGCCTCTATTAGGGACCCAGCGTGAAGCCAGCGACAAGAAACAGCACTCCCACCCCATGACCCCTCAATTGCTAAAACCAGAGAAATAAAAATAGCCATCCATCCTTCCTCATTTCCTTCTTCAGCTTGAGCAGTACTTACACAAAGATGAGGGAAACCAAAAATGCCATGCCTTTTGACAGCTGTGATTGAGCAATTTATACAGTAAGCCCCCATTAAAAATAGCAGCGACTGATCCTCTCCACCTCAAGACACCTGGCCAATTCTGAATGCTACAGGCCTCTGTCCACTAAAGCACACACTACATGTGTAAAAAGGTAAAGGTTTCCCTTTAACATTAAGTCTAGCCGTGTCCAACTCTGGGGAGTGGTGATCATCTCCATTTCTAAGTTGAAGAGCTGGCATTGTCTGACGCCTCCAAGGTCATTTGGCTGGCATGACTGCATGGAGCGCCATTACATTCCCACCAAAGTGGTATCTATTGATCTACTCACATTTGCATGTTTTCAAACTGCTAGGTTAGCAGAAGCTGGGGCTAACAGCGGGAGCTCACCCCGCTCCCCGGATTCAAACCACTGACCTTTTGATCATCAATTTCAATAGCTCAGCAGTTTAACCCGCTGCGTAGCAATGTCGCAGCCTTAATACAACAATATTCCATACAGCACTTTCAAAAACATGAATACAAGGAAGAACATTTGCACAAAGTGGTCAGAAGTCACAAAAGCATCTGATGTTTTGAAAATGTTTTGAAAATGTTTCTGAAAATATTTTACACATAATATAATGCAAAGTATATGTGTACTGCATATGATGCTGTGGTATTGTAAATTAAAAACAAAAATTATTAAATACTGAAATGCATTGTGACCTTTGTCCACCCTGAGTTTTCAGGCAATGGCATATGGTCATTCAAACGCTTCAACAAAAGCATGAATCCAACAACAAAAGTGATGTGGTGGGGGAAAATGTCTGGACTCTACAGCTGATTGAAATAAGTGCTTGATATGTTTATGAAAATACTGATGTCCCTATCATGAGAGTGATGTACAAATGAAATCAATTTGAGCAGATCAAAGTACTTCAGAGAGAGGACATCCCTCTTGTTGCACCAACTCCACAGGCTGCCAGTTCGCTACTGAGCACAATTCAAGGTGCTGGCTTTAGCCTATAAACCCTTAAACGGTTCTGGCCCAGCTTACCTGTCCAAACGTATCTTCCTCTATGAGCCGCCTTGGAAGTTAAGATTGTTTGGGGAGGCCCTGCTCTCAGTCCTGCCTTCCTCGCAAGCGCAACTGGTGGGGACGAGGGACAGGGCGTTCTATGTGGTGGCCCCTCAGCTATGGAACACCCTCCCCAGTGACATTAGATCAGCCCCTGCCCTCCTAGCTTTCAGAAGGAAAGCAAAACTTTGGCTTTGGGATCGGGCTTTCAGAGAAAGTGCAATAACAGATTTGGAATATGTGCAATGATTACATCTTTGGACTATGATGATGGATGGCATGATTTATATTGAATGTAATGTTTTTGAATGTTTTAAATGCTTAATATGTATTAACTTTAATTTAATTTTAATGTTATTGGAATTGTATGTGTTTTAAGGCACTAAATAATTGCCTATATGTGAGCCGCCTTGAGTCCCCTTGAGGGTAAAGAAAAGCGGGGTATAAATAGGGTAAATAAATAAATACACACACATAAAATACATTAAACTATTTAGCAAGTGGTAGGTAAAGGTAAAGCTTTCCCCTTTACATTAAGTCTAGTCATGTCCGACTATGGGGGGTGGTGCTCATCTGCATTTCTACGTCAAAGAGCCAGCGTTGTCCGCAAACGCCTCCAAGGTCATGTGGCCGGCATGACTGCATAGAGTGCTGTTACCTTCTCACCGGAGTGGTACCTACTGATCTACTCTCATTTACATGTTTTCAAACTGCTAGGTTTGGAAGAAGCTGGGGCTAACCCCACTCCCTGGATTCGAACTGCTGACCACCAGTCAGCAAGTTCAGCAGGTCAACGGTTTAACCTGCTGCACCACCAGAGGCAAAGGATTTAAAAGGTTACAACAATTTAAAACCACAAACATAGATGTGCCTCAGAGGTTTTAATGCTTTTTCTTGTTGATTTTTTTTCATGGTATTCCAATAGAGCCAGCATTGCAACATTAACTGGGTCCTCTCCCATGCCTCTCCATACCATATTGACCCAGGTTTCGTAACACAGGGCAGGGCCCCAGCTCCAAATCCAGAAAATCTCAAGAATAAAAGTTTTTATTTTATTTATTTAGTACATTTCTATACCACCCCTCTCAGCCTTCCGGCGACTCGAGGCGGTTTACAAGGCAAGAATTCAATGCCACCAAGGACACAATTACAATATACAATATAAAAAACATCAGCAACAATAAAATCAAACATTATAATGAAACATACTTCAATTGATGATCATTAAAACAATGTCCAGTTCCGCCATATAATTATTCCATTATTATATCAGTTACTCCTTATTTTCAAAAGCCAATTAAGAGTTTATTCTAATTTACATTGATCTTTTTGAAGGAATGGCCCTTAGAAACTTGGGACAAGGATGTGCTGAAAAATTACCTATGGCTGAAACTGGGAAATGCCACAGGCCTGCCGTAAGGCTTATTCCACCTCACCTACCTACTCTCTACATCCAATAGACGTCATCGGTTTAGCCCAGGAATGGGCAAACTTCAGCCCTCCAGGGGTTTGGAACTTCAACTCACAGAATTCCTAACAACTTAAGGCCCCTTCCTCTCCTTTTAAAAAAAGTGGGAAATGAAAGGGCCTGAGGCTGTTAGGAATTTTGGGAGTTGAAGTCCAAAATATCTGGAGTTTGCCCATGCCTGGTTTAGCCTTTGTCCAAGAAAGCAGAACATTTTAGGGAGGGGGGGGGATACGTGATGCACATACATTTTTAGATTTTCACATAGATGGCTATGTTAGTCTGTTTCTGTACAAAAACAAAAGAAGTAAGAAGAGGAAGTTGCCTAGTAGTACCTTTTAAGTCTAAATGATTTAGCATGAGTTCAGGACACCCAAGAAAGTGGGTTTTAATCCATATCATACTAATTGAATCAAATGGCCTTCCAAGATGCAACATGACGTACCCCTCCCCACGTTTTTCCTTAATTTCCACACAAATGCATATTTTTTTTTCCAAACGATGGCCAGCCCAAGTGCAGCAACTACAGCTATAATACATCACAGCACATGACCGGATTTACCTGTATAGAGGTACTGCAGAAGGGAACCAAAGGCAGCTGGGTTGATCTATATAAGGAATGAAACTGGTTATTTACAGAGGTTGTACCACACCATTGCTTGAAACAAACACTAATATTACTGAGAAAGTAATCTAGGTGGAAAAGTCATCTTAGAAGTAATTTATGGATGTTAGGCTCTTATGTTGTTTTGATATGTCAGGTTCCTCAGGGATTATGATGTTGATATTTTTCTGTTTATGGAGGCACTGAATTCTGTTTATGGAGGCACATGCCATTGTATGTTGGAATCAGCCCTGTGTCCTCCTTGGGGGGATATGGCAGAATATAAATAAAGTCATTATTATTATTATTATTATTGTTATTATTATTATTATTATTATTTGAAACACAACAAGATGAGTCCACAGCAGACACTCTGCTGGCTGTTGAATTGGATCACACATCGGACATTTCCCAAGTGTCTAGGACTGTGTGATGTATTGGCGAATAATGCGTGCAGAGCCCAGTAAGGTGGCCTTCTGCAGCTGGCAGGTGGTAATTTTGTCAGTGCCAATTGTGTTTAAGTGCAGGCCAAGGTCTTTAGGCACTGCACCCACATGATTAATAATATCAATAATAATATTATTATTAATCATGTGGATTTCTCAATGCTTTCAGTCTCAATTCCAGTAAGCCTCTGCCAGTTCAAACAATAAGGTGGCTTGAAAATCCCTTGAAGCAGAGTATTAGTTCTCGATCTTCTTTAAGATGATCCAATGAGGACTACACTGTAGAATTAATATAGTTTAATGCCATTTTAATTGCCATGGCTCAAGGCTCTGGAACCACGGGAGCTGTAGTTTTACAAGGCTTTAGCCTTCTCTGCCAAAGAGTGGTTCTGCCTTGTATAAATTGTGTATAAATTGATGGTGACTATGTTGAACTGTAGTTCTGTGAAGAGGATAGTTTAGGTTATGATCTGTAGCAACTGCTGCTACAGATCATAGGAGGCAAAACCTTTTGACCGACCCAAAAAAATGCTTTTGTGCTTTGATTACTTTTCTTTTGAATAAAAATTACTTTACAAACTTTGTATTCATTCATTTAACAGCTTCATGTTCCTGATTTGAGATATCCTGCGTTTTAAACAAGACAAGGCACACAGCAGAATATGCTCACACAAAGAAACCAATTTCAGTGCATGGTGAATAAAGACCTCTAGCCCAAAAGCACCTGATGAATTCAGGTGCCCCTATCTGAGAAACGAAGGCAGAAATTCCCATATGAGTTCTTTAAGAGGGCGAAACTTGCTTTTTTTGTTTATTTTTGTGAAATGAAAGTTACAAATTAAAAGTTACAAATGTAACAATCGGGAAAGTGCATTTTTCCCACTATTCATCCAGCTACATGTATGAAAGGATGTGTGATCCATGAGATATATTTTCCCAAATACCATCTAAGTACAAAGGTGCACAGACATGTAGCTTATAAAAGACAAAGTTATACAGGAGGCTGTTAACAGGGAGATGCGGTTTTGGAGACAAAAGTTAAATATACTGTGTAGATATGTAAATGTATACAGACTAGATGTCTCTGGAATAAACAACCATGGAGATCACTCTGGAACTGTATGTGGACAATGTTTAATGTAATGTGATTCCATGAAAACATGTTTCTGTAACACTATTTATAATGACCTTAGCAATTGTTAGAGAAGAGCTTATCCAACAAACCACAAAGGTCCACTGTTAAAAGATCTAAATGATCTGCCTATGCTATTCGGTTAGGATTTAAAAAAACAAAACACTAGTGGCTTTCTGGAGTGAGAGATGCCATAAAGAATCTACTCCAGAACGGATTTCTCATTTCACTGTCATCTAAGAATGCAAACGTTGAAGTAGCTCAGCAGCTCAACATTAGATTCATTCCAGAGCCCAACAAAATTAAAGACATTGTACTGCAGCAATGTTCAGCATAGTGTGATTCTAACTTCAATTTGCATTGCAGCCAAAATATCACCAAATGGCTTATGAGCACAGACTTCCCTCGCATTGTAGTATTTCTCTTCTTTATTGCACACCTTCTAAATGCTACAACACATGATTCATAGCAGATACCAAAGCACCAACAGATGGCACACCTCAGGAAAAAGAAAACATAATGTGGGTTTCCTCACCAGTGGATGCTTCAGAGCTATGACATTCTTCCCCTTCCACTTGGTCTCAAACATTTCTGCAAAATATGCACTTCGGGCACCAAGTATGCAGCGATGGGCACAGAAGGACTTCCCATGGACGATAAAGACAATGTCACTTTGATAGCCCTGTTCTAAAAGCCTGCAAGGAAAGCAGAGAAAAAACAGGAGTCAGAGAATTGCCGAAAAACAAAATGAACGAAGGGGTCCAGACACTGGAAGGATGTTTTGTTTGCATTTTGTCCTTTCAAAGAAAAAAATGCTTCAGTTCTAAACTACTAGTAATATTGTAATATTGTATGTGTTCATGTGCATGCTCACACATATGCATTTCTGCTGTGGCACATCAGTTTCATCATATACATGGGAGATTTCGACATGGTATGTATAGAATGTTTCTGTCAATAGCTCCTTTGAAACCTTTATTTAAGAGTTTACTTTAAAAGAATACTCTGACATTTGTCAGTTTCAAAGCAAACTACCAGCTGCCAGGGCCAATGTTAATTCCAATAATGGTTGTGAATGCCACCTGGCCTCCAAACATGTCCCTGGAAAATGACAATGGTGACTGAAAGGACTCCAGGGTGATGTTTAAACAGAACAGAGATCTTTAGCAGCTTTTGAAAAGAATCAAAACCTACAAGAATACCAACATTTCCATTTGAACGGCTAATACCATATCTTAATCTAGTATTAGAAAGGGTGAAACATTGGTACAGTAGAGTCTATCTTATCCAACAAATTTTGCATCAAAATATCACAATGTATTGAAACAGCAGTGTTTCCAGGGAGGAAGGCAGTATGCGTTGGATACTACTGTATCTGCTGTGCTGCTTTGAGGTTATTTTTGAATTGGTGTTTTATTATAAAAACTGCTCTCCCTCAGTACATATTAAGATGTACCTCAACTATGGAAAGCATTTGAATCAAAGATCTTATAACATGTAAAAAAAAGAAAAGAAATAAGAAATGCACATTCAGGTTTGCATGCCTCAAACTCTTTAAGCGATACCACCAACTTGAATTGGTTTCAGAACTAATAGGCAAAATATTGTGGTATGCGACCTTGATTCCAGGGCCCCCTGGTGGTGCAGCAGGTTAAACTGCTGAGCTGCTGAACTTGCTGACCAAAAGGTTGGCGGTTTGACTCTGGGGGTGGGGTGAGCTACCGCTGTTAGCCCCAGCTTCCGCCAACCTAGCAGTTCGAAAACATGCAAATGTGAGTAGAGTAATAAGTACCGCTTCTGCGAGAAGGTAACGGTGCTCCATGCAGTTATGCTAGCCACATGGCCTTGGAGTTGACTGTGGACAACGCCGGCTCTTTGGCTTAGAAATGGAGAAGAGAACCACCCCCCAGAGTCGAACACGCCTAATGTCAGGGGAAAACCTGTACCTTTATCTTGATTCCAAATTTTGGGAGAAAGACAGGTTATAAGATAGTCAAAAACTAAAGCCATTTGATTCAGTTAATGAAAAGTCTACCAGGCAAGTTCAGTATCACTTGAAGCTTCTGGGCTGTATCCCAGGACAGGTCCAGGTATAATATATTACAAAAATACAAACCAACAAGATCAGTTTGGGCAAGGCAGTACAACAGAAACGACAAAGCATCCCAGTACTTAGCAACCTTTCTGCTCACAGCAGGATACATCTCACCGTTGAAGGAAGGAGTCATAGTAGTCTCTTTTCATGCACTTTGCTGTGATCTGCTTGTACTCTTTTAGCACCCGTCGGATAGTATCACTCAGGGCCCCATATAAGCAGCGCTCTCCATCAAAGGTGTTTGCTTCACATTTTGCGCCTATAAAGATTCCAAGAAAATACTTGGGTACAAAGCCAAATTATAAATATCAAATAGAAACATAAAGATAGGCAACCTGTTTGCTCTCTCTGTCTCATTGAACCGAGTATCACTGAAGCTGAATGGTGGGAGACTTGGGGAAGGAAAAGAAATAGCACAACCAACCCTGTTCTCTGAGGCCAAGGACACAGAATCCTTGTGAAATTGGCAATACCACAAATAAAAAGCCACTTTTTTTAACAAAGAGAACACCTCTTTAGGAATCTCTTGCCACTCAAGCAGGATTGTAAGACTGGATGTGCAGTGTGGCATGGCGGGGTTCTTGCTAACATAGTTTTAACAGAGATAATAGATTAGACAAGTATTTTTAAAAACTCAATTGGTGTTCCATGAACATAGCTGGGGATTGCTGCCTGGAAATATTTGGTGTGGAACAAATTAGCAAGAAAATATATGAATTCCTAACAGCTATATCTAGTTTTCCTCTCTGCTCATAGTTCTCAGAACTACTGCCTCCGTGCACATGTACCACCAACAAAACTTGAATTATATTATTATTTTTTTAAAAAAACCCAAACAATGTGTGGTATTTATTTATGGCAATAAAAAAAGACATAAAGAAAGTCAGTTAAAAATAGCAGTAATAAGTGCCAGCCAAGGTCTAATTCCAAAAGAGCTAGATTATAACCTAATTCTCCATTAACATCAACTGTCACAAAGAAAAAAGGCGTTTATTAAAGAAAAGCATGCCAAGTTGCCTGACTACCAGAGCTAAATTGTTCAATGTAATTGTACGGTTTTACAGCACAGCAGCTCATATAAATTGTATTTCACAGAAATATATAACTAGGTATTTTGCATAGACTGCCTCCAAACAAAAGAGAACACCCTCTGACTTCTCTTACCATTAGCCAGAAGGTATCGTACAAGTTCTTCATGTCCACAGAGACAAGCATAGTATCTGTTAGGAAGAGTAAGGAGGCCAGAAACACACAATTACAAATGAAAATGTTTGTGAATTATTAATACTCGCAAAGGTTCTCTTACAATATCAGTTTGACAATGTAATGAACATCCAAGAATTGTGTGAAATATAAACAGTTCTGATCTTGTGCCCTTAGTGATCTAAAGGCCAATTGAACTATTTTTGCTAAGACCTTCCTCTCCACTGTCTTGCATTTTTGTGACAAGGGACTAGGCCCATTAATATCTATTCACAGCTCCCTTTTCTAAGGGATTAGAAAACATCCTAAGGCATTCACTCCTGCAACGTCCACGCAGAAAATAACATTTAATAGGTATTCAAGAAAAGCACCTGGTAAAACTCGTTCAAACTGTTATTAGCAGGTCTGCTTTCAGACAAGAATTTGTTATAATGAATTTATTAGATGTGTGGTTTTTGGCAGGGTGTGTTTTGGTTTTTTTTTTTTTTGTTTGTTTTGGTCGTGTCAGGAGCGACTTCAGAAACTGCAAGCCGCTTCTGGTGTGAGAGAATTGGCCGTCTGCAAGGACGTTGCCCAGGGGACGCCTGGATGATTTGATGTTTTATCATCCTTGTGGGAGGCTTCTCTCATGTTCCCACATGAGGAGCTGGAGCTGATAGAGGGAGCTCATCCGCCTCTCCCCGGATTCAAACCTGCGACCTGTCGGTCTTCAGTCCTGCCGGCACAGGGGTTTAACCCACTGCGCCACCGGGGGCTCCAGCAGGGTGGTGACTTAATGCCATTTGCTTTGTTGTAAACCACTTTGAGTCCCCCTAGGGGTTGAGAAAAGCGGTAAATAAATCAATAAACAAATGGCAATTTTGTGTGTTTTTTGAATTCCATTTTCATTTTTTTTAAATCTGTTTTGTATTTTATTTTATTTTAAAAAATACATGAATTTTATCCATCTTGTCTTGAATTTTTGCCTGGAAACAAACTGGTAGCCTGTACCAAGAGTACAGTATATAACCAGCCATCCTTTTGTTACCAGTCTTCTTACAGCAACCATTTAGAATTGGTGTACCTCTGAATTACTATGTTGAGGGCAAACACCAGCGTAAGGCCATTGCTTTGAGTTTGACAGTACACTTCCGTAAACATCTAAATGATCACTTTTAGAGACAGAATGCTGGAGCAGACTGTCCTTCCACACAATTGGATGGAGCTCTGCTTAGAATGCTATTAAAATAATTAGGATTTATGACCATTATCACCAAAACATGAGACCCATTGCAGAGATTTTTCAAAATGTTCAATGCGTGGCCATTAAAGTGTGTGTGTGTGTGGGGGGGGGGGGTGCTAGCCAACAACAGAGACCATGAGCCAACTACATGGATGAGCAAAAGAAATATACAAGAACCAATATTTTCCGTTAAATAACCCAATATTAAAACAGATAAATATTGTAAAATTTGAAAGGTAGTCTTTCCAAAAAAGTGTGCACAGGTTACCAAGCATAGCAATGGTTAAAAGCAAGACCATCCCTCTGGACAGCTAAACCAGGAAATACCAATTGGATGGTCCCCCATGGAGGGTGTTCCTCCAGGGGCAAACCAAGACCAAAAACGGGCAACTTAGAAGTCTCTGAACAGACTTCAGAAGTGGAGTAGGCAGATCAAAAGATAACCTGGCAAAATGGAACTACTTAAAAGAATCCTCCACCTTGTGTGACTGTGGAACAGAACAAAAAACTCCGCACCTGTATGCTTGTCCAAAATGCCCTGCCTCATATGCACAGAGGAAGAATTGTTTAAAGCTACAGACGATGAAGTCACTGCTGCCTGTTTTTGGTCAAAAATTATTTAACGGCTTGTGCTCTTTCTATTTTTATTCAGTTTTATATTTATGTGTGCAGTGCTTTTGACACAAAATAAATAAAACCAAACATAGCAAAGCAAATTTCAAAACAAAACACTCACAAAGGGGTACTGTCCCATTTGTCTCGGACATTGATTTCAACATCCCTCTGTTCAAGAAGGTATCTGAAACAGAAGCAGATTGACAGCTTTAGGCATTCATCAAACTCACTTCAGGCATAACTTTTTAAAAAGTGCTCCCACTATATTCATTTTAAAAAGTGCTCCCATCATCACTTTTCCAGTCTTTATGTGAAAGAAAAGATATCACGAAGACTACTTTTCCAAATGAATGTCCCACCTTGAGCTGTGAGAAGAGGTTGTTGTTATTATTATTATTATTATTATTATTATTATTATTATTATTATTTGTTGTTGTTGTTGTTGTTGTTGTTGTTGTTGTTGTTGTTGTTGTTGTTACCATTGATTCCTCATCCCTTCCCACCCCAATTCATGCGATTTTAAATGGATGATACTAGCTTTATCCTTGAAGAGACAATGAATTTTACCTGAAATTACTGACAAGAGTCTTTTCTACGTCAAGGTTATTAAAACCTATGGAGACCAAATCCTGCACATCTAGATTATTATGAGTATGCAAAAGGAAAATACAACCTTTCTTTGAAAAGATGGAAATAAAGAGCACAAGCATAGCATAATGGTTAAAGATGGATTACAACTGAGAATCCACGTTGTCCGAATGCCTAATCACAGTCTCCCAAAGCAGTTGCTCTATTCCGAACTCAAACAGAAAATGGAAGGTTGGAGGACAGGAAAAGAGATTTAAAGAGGGGCTCAAAGCCAACCTTAAAAGCTGTGACATAGACACCGAGAACTGGGAAGCCCAGGCCCTTGAGCACTCTAGCTGAAGGTCAGCTGTGACCAGCAGTGCTGTAGAATTTGAAGAGGAACAAATGGAGGGCGAAAGAGAGAAACGTGCCAAGAGGAAAGCGCATCAAGCCAACCCCGGCCGGGACTGCCTTCCACCTGGAAACCTATGCCCTCACTGCGGGAAAACATGCAGAACAAGTATAGGGCTCCACAGTCACCTACGTGCCCACCATCAGGATACTGCACTTGGAGGACAATCTTACTCGGACAACGAGGGATCGCCTAAGTAAATAGTACAACTAAGAATGAAACTTCCTTGGATCAGTCATTATCTAGAGCAGGGCTGGTATGAAAATAAAATGAGGAAAAGAGCAGAGTTTCTTGATGGCTATTTAAGCAGCATGAGCAAGTAGCAGCCACAGTAAAAATCTGGAGGAAACAACTAGTTGATAGTCTATGGACAGACCATTAATGTTGCTGTTTACATTTGTGTATTTTAATTGGTAAATGGTATCACGGGTGAATGTTTTACCAGCTCACTGATACTATATCATTCACACATGAATGAGAAATGCTAGTTGTACTTAATACTACAGTAGGTCATTGGTATGTGCTGGATTTTGGTTCCAGGAATCCCCTGGATACCAAAATCCAGGAATGCTCAAGTCTCATTATATACAATGATGTAGTAAAATGCCATCTCTTGTATAAAACAGCAAAATCAAGTTTTTTGGTTTTTAAAAAATCTTAACTATGGTTGATTGATCCATGGATGCAGCACCGGGATTGTGGTGCAGCAGGCTGAGTGTCAGCTGCATTAAGATCACTCTGACCAAAAGGTCATGAGTTCGAAGCCAGCCCGGGTTGGAGTGGGTTTCCAACCAATTGTATGTAGCCTGTTGACGACCTTTGCAACCCGAAATACAGTTGCATCTGTCAAGTAGGAAAATTAGGTACCACCTTAAAAGTGTGGGGAGGCTAAATTAACTGATTTATGAGGCCATAAAGAAGACGCCAGCAAAGCATTCCAGTGGGGAAGCATGAGAGGAATGCGGAAGTGCTTCATCAGCGTCGCAGATGGACAATGAAAGCGACAGCTCCCCTGGCGGCCAGAAAAAGTTAAATAGCCTCTGTGTATGTCTGTATATGTTTGTATGTAAAAAAAATTGGAATTGAATGTTTGCCATATATGTGTACACTGTGAGTCCCCTGCGGGGTAAGAAGGGCGGAATATAAAAGCTGTAAATAAATAAATCTGTGGCTACAGAGGGCTGAGTGTAATTTACTTAAGATTATTATTTTATTACACAAAACATCTATAATTTGGCAATGATGTCATGAAATTCTAAGAAATAGTTCTTATAGCACTAATATTATCTTTAGGAATATTGTTTTTGTTTGCTTCGTAACCCTGCATGGGTATGTGGCAGCCGTGTTGTATTCTTATGTTCTCTAACCTACTGCATGTTCTTATATAGAAAAGAACACACAGCCCTACTGCGTTTACTTATATAGAAAAGAACACACAGATAACAATAAATAATGCTTTTTTCAAAAAGAACAAAATGTACTTATAAAATCTTAATAGACCATTTCCTGTCCCATACTATTCTGTTTCTTCACCATTTAGCTCTTTGGCAGTATCTAAAGCTGTCAGCTGTTTTAGGACATTGCTGATAGCCAAAAAGAGGAAAAAGTTGTTTTCCTTTTAACAAACATTACAAGAACTTGAGACCTCCTACTAGACATGAAGCAACAGGGGAAGAGTCATGGCATTAGCCAATAGCAGTTGGAGAAGAAAGGCTGACATGCAGCCAGACCAAAATAGTATGCTCACTTTAATTTTTTTTTTCAAAATGGAAATATGATTGCTTATCACTCAAGACTTTTCTGTGAGATATTTCAGCAATATATTTTAGATCTTCCTTTGTTTCTAATACAGTTCTTGTAGTCTGGCTTTAAGACACTCACAATATTAAAGGAGATATCCAAAACAGAAAGTTATATGTACTTGCAGAAACTAAGGATGCGGTTTTTGAGATAAACATTTACAGTTTAAAACTAAAAATAAAATTCACTAGGCCTGCGAAAATTGTACTAGCTTGAGAAAAACAAAAGTCAGCTAGAGAGATCTGTACCAAGCAAAAAGAATACTAATAATACTAATATCAATATTAATAATAATTTTAAAATATTTTTAATTTGTTACTGCCCTCCTCAGGACTTGAAGTTGGTAGAACACAGCCAAAACTCATACACCAAAATACGACATAGCACAAAGATTAAAGCATGATACCAATAGAATTTTAATTTAAAATCCACAGTTCAAAACTGACTAGATAGGTCTGCCGGAAGAGATAGATCTGTATTTGTGTTTTAAATTTTGACAGCAGTAGTAGGATGCCTGCCCACTACTTTTTTGTGCAACTGACAAAAATTCTAGGCAATCATAATGTTACTTTAGCAAACAGAGATTGGCTTTACTAGACGTAGTATAAATGCTGGGAAAAATAAATGTGGTATGTCCAATAACACCTCTTTGAAGAAGGTTGCTTCTGAGCTGTCTCAAAATTTGCCTTCCACTGCCTCACAAACTAACTCCTAGACCTCCAATCCAGATTTATTCACACCTGTCCTTGTATCTGTGTGGTTGTTTCTCTGCAATATGCCAAACTTTGCACTGTAAATGTTGGCTTCTGTTCTACAATTTCAGCAGAGTGCCTCCAGTTCCCTAAAGGCACCAGATCCCATCTGAACTTAGAAGCTAAGCAGGGTCAGCTCTGGTAAGGACTTGGAGGGGAACCCAGTAATGAATCCCAGGCGCTGAATGCTCTGTTTCAGAGGAATCATAGAATCGTAGAGTTGGAAGAGACCTTGTGGGCCATCCAGTCCAAACCTTTGCTAAGAAGCAGGAAAATCACATTCAAAGCACCCCCGACAGATGGCCATCCAGCATCTGTTTAAAAGCCTCCAAAGAAGGAACCTCCATCACACTCTGGGGCAGAGAGTTCTACTGCTGAACAGCTCTCACAGTTAGGAAGTTCTTCCTAATGTTCAGGTGGAATCTCCTTTCATGTAGTTTGAAGTCATTGATCTGCATTCTAGTCTCCAGGGCAAAGGGAATTGGCAAAAGTGCCTCTGAGTATGCCTTGCCTAAGAAAACTAATGAAATTCATGGAGTTGCCACAAAGCGACTGGCACACTATTTCAGCAGGTATCCATCCAGTTTACCAAATTTTTAAAAAGTATCCTGCTGAATTATAACATTTTAAAATGCTGTTCCATATAATTGTATGTTCTCTTTGAAACTGTGCCTTCAAGTTGTTTCTGAGGCAGGGAAACTTAAAGGCAAGTCGCTTTTCTTGGCAAGATTTGCTCAGGGAGAATTACAACTTCCTTTTCAGCAGGAGTTCTCTCTGTGACTTTGATTTTGCTGTTCTTTGAGATGTCCAAGATCATAATAATCAAAGGGCCCTTCCCTTTGGGACCCTTTCCACACAGCTGAATAAAATCCCACATTATCTGCTTTGAACTGGGATATATGGCAGTTGAACCCAGTTCAAAGCAGATATTGTGGGATTTTCTGCATTGATATTCTGGTTTATATGGCTGTGCCGTCCATAGATATTCCAGTTCAATGCAAATATTGGGGGTTATCCTGCCTTGATATTCTGGTATCCCTTCCACTCAGCCCTATATCCCAGAATATCAAGGCAGAAATTCCTATATTATCTGAGTGTGGACTCAGATAAACCTGTTCAAAGCAGATATTGTGGGATTTTCTACCTTGACATTCTGGGATATAGGGCTGTGTGGAAGGACCCATAGATATTTAATTAAATTTATTTATTTATTTATTTATTAATATTTCTACCCCGTACTTCTTGAAGGTGAGGGTGACTCCAGGCAGCTTAAAACAAGACACTAAAAGCATTTAAAACAAAATTAAAAACCATACAAAGAGCTTTAAAATCATATAAAAACCAATGCCTTCACTGTTAATTTAATTGTCCAAAAACGTTTCTAGTTTAAAGCAGATATTCTGGGTTACATGGCTGTGTGGAAGGGCCCATAGATATTCCAGTTCAAAGCAGATATTGGGGGTTATCCTGCCTTGATATTCTGGGATATAGGGTTGTGTGGAAGGGCCCTGGGTTATCTGAGTCCACACTGGCATGTAACCTGTGAATATCAAGGCAGAATAACCCACAATATCTGCTTTGAATTGGGTTATTTCGGGGCCTTTCCACACAGCCGTAGATCCGAGAATATGAAGGCAGAAAAACCCACAATATCTGCTTTGAACTGGATTATCTGAGTCCACACTCAGATAATGTGGGATTTTCTGCCTTGATATTCTGGGATATAGGGCTGTGTGGAAGGGCCCTGAGCCCACACTGCCATATATCTCAGTTCAAAGCAGAAAGTGTGGGATTTTATGCAGCTGTGTGGAAGGGGCCAAAGACAATTGAGGCACTAATGATTGTTATACTGATGTTTAATTATTTATATTAAAATTGTTTTTAATTGCCCTATACTTATCTTGTGATGTTATTCACCGCTTTGAGTCGCCTGAGGGCTGAGAAAAGCAATATATAAATAAAGTAAATAAATAAATAAATAAATTTTACAAAGACAGACAGCTGCCTTTCAAAGTGGTGAGGCCCCAGCGCTCTTGGAGAAGGGAAAAGACCCAAAAAGACTAAGGGTCTTAATTAGAAAACTCTAAAATGAGAACAGCACAACAACAGAGAGGAAACAAACAAGGACATCTAATCACCTCTCAACAAAAGATTGCTCCAGGCACTGCCAAGCAATCAAATGCTAACCAAGGTGATCAGTTGAAACATTCACACCTAGCTCCAACAGACAAGAGTCCTTTGTCCCACCCTGGTCATTCCACATATATATAAACCCAATTTTCCTAGTTCCAACAGACCTCACTACATCTGAGGATGCTTGCCATAGATGCAGGTGAAACGTCAGGAGAAAATGCTTTTAGAACATGGCCATATAGCCCGAAAAAACCTACAACAACCCAGAGTAAGGCTCCTTCCATCCAGCCCTATATCCCAGAATATCAAGGCAGAAAATCCCACAATATCTGCTTTGAACTGGGATATATGGCAGTGTGGACTCAGATAACCCAGTTCAAAGCAGAGATTGTGGGATTTTCTGCCTTGATATTCTGGTTTATATGGCTGTGCCGTCCATAGATATTCCAGTTCAATGCAAATATTGGGAGTTATCCTGCCTTGATATTCTGGCATCCCTTCCACTCAGCCCTATATCCCAGAATATCAAGGCAGAAAATCCCACAATATCTGCTTTGAACTGGATATATGGCAGTGTGGACTCAGATAACCCAGGGCCCTTCCACACAGCCCTATCTGAGGCCACACTGCCATATATCCCAGTTCAAAGCAGGTAATAAGGGATTTTATTCAGCTGTGTGGAAGGGGCTCTTGTGAAACAAAGCACAGCTCTAGGGACCCCGGAGCCCTGAGCCTGGAAAGCAGTGCCAAACTGCGTTAAGTCTGCAGTGTGGAAGAAGCGCCCTCTTTCTCACCGCACTCGGCAGACGTCGCCTTTCTTGCAGCTGAAGAAGAGGTCGCTGGTGTCCATGGCCCCGCATTGGCCCGGCCTGGCAGGCAAGGAGGAAGGAAGGCAGGGAGAAAGAAGGAAAGAGGCCTTTGGAGCCGGGAGAGAGCCCAGGGAAGGCCCAGGGAGAGGCGGCGGATGTAAACACAGCGGCTGGAGAAGGGCAAGCGGGAACGCCTACTGCTTCTCTCCTCCTCCTCCTCCTCCTCCGGCGAGCCCGCCCCCTTCCTGCCTTCCTTCTCCCTCCGTTTCCGCCTCGCTAGGATTTGGTGCCACTTCCAGACCAGGCGTGGGCAAACTTCTGCCCTCCAGGTGTTTTGGACTTCAACTCCCACAATTCCTAGCAGCCTACCGGCTGCTAGGAATTGTGGGAGTTGAAGTCCAAAACATCCGGAAGGCAGAAGTTTGCCCACGCCTGGTGTAGAACTAGAAGCACATAAATACAGGAAACAGCAAGCGACAAGATCAAAGACAAGCAGATTGCTAGAGAAGGCTCCATGAAGGCTGTCATTTCCAACACAGATCATAGAAAGAAGTGACAAGCAGAGTGCCATCAGCAGGGTTCCGTCCTGGGCCCGGTCCTGTTCAACATCTTTATTAATGACTTAGATCAGTGTTTCTCAACCTGGGGGTCGGGACCCCTGTAGGGGTCGCGAGGGGGTATCAGAGGGGTCACCAAAGACCATCCGGAAACACAGTATTTTCTCTGGTCATAAGGGTTCTGTGTGGGAATTTTGGTCCAATTCTATCGTTGGTAGGGTTCAGAATGTTATTTCATTGTAGGTAAACTATAAATCCCAGCAACTACAACTCCCAAATGTTAAGGTCTATTTTCCTCAAACTCCACCAGTGTTTACATTTTGGCATATTGAGTTTTGGTGCCAGGTTTGGTCCAGATCCATCATAGTTTGAGTCCACAGTGCTCTCTGGATGGAGGTGAACTACAACTCCAAAAATTCAATATCAGTGTCCACCAGATCCTCCCAGTATTTTCTCTTGGTCATGGGAGTTCTGTCTGCCAAGTTTGGTTCAATTTCATTATTGGTGGTGTTCAGAATGCTCTTTAATTGTAGGTGAACTATAAATCCCAGCCACTACAGCTCCCAAGTGACAAAATCAATCCCCTCCCAACCCCACCAGTATTCAAATTTGGGCATATTGGGTATTTGGAATTTGAAGATATTTACATTACAATTCATAACAGTAGCAAAATTACAGTTATGAAGTAGCAATGAAAATAATGTTATGGTCGGGGGTCCCCACAACATGAGGAACTGTATTAAGGGGTCGCGGCATTAGGAAAGTTGAGAAACACTGACCTAAGAAAAGGCACGATCATCAAGTTTGCAGACGACACCAAATTGGGAGGGATAGCCAATACTCCAGAGGACAGGAGCAGGATTCAAAACGATCTTGACAGATTAGAGAGATGGGCCAAAACTAACAAAATAAAGTTCAACAGTGACAAATGCAAGATACTCCACTTTGGCAGGAAAAACGAAATGCAAAGATACAGAATGGGGGACAATGCCTGGCTCGAGAGCAGTACGTGTGAAAAAGGATCTTGGAGTCCTCATGGACAACAAGTTAAACATGAGCCAACAATGTGATGTGGCGGCAAAAAAAGCCAATGGGATTTTGGCCTGCATCAATAGGAGCATAGTGTCTAGATCTAAGGAAGTAATGCTGCCCCTCTATTCCGCTTTGGTTAGACCACACTTGGAATATTGTGTCCAATTCCGGGCACCACAATTGAAGAGAGATATTGACAAGCTGGAATGTGTCCAGAGGAGGGCGACTAAAATGATCAAGGGTCTGGAGAACAAGCCCTATGAGGAGCGGCTTAAAGAGCTGGGCATGTTTATCCTGAAGAAGAGAAGGCTGAGAGGAGACATGATAGCCATGTATAAATATGTGAGAGGAAGCCACAGGGAGGAGGGAGCAAGCTTGTGAAAGCTTCCTGACTGTGAAAGCTGTTCAGCAGTGGAACTCTCTGCCCCGGAGTGTGGTGGAGGCTCCTTCTTTGGAGGTTTTTAAACAGAGGCAAGATGGCCATCTATCAGGGGTGCTTTGAATGCAATATTCCTGCTTCTTGGTAGGGGGTTGGACTGGATGGCCCATGAGGTCTCTTCCAACTCTAGGATTCTATGATTTGTAAAAAGGCACCATGATGTATTGGGTTGACTGGAAAGGCATGTGTCAGCAGCTGATTGGCACAGTAAAACTGTGTTACATTAAGTTGTGTTTATCTTGATCTACTTTCAGTCATCTACTTTCAATTACTGTATTTCAATATTAATATCAGGTCAATACAAAATTTATGGTACAATATAGTATTGGTTAGGCCTATTTTGAATTGTCACTCTCAAGCAACCAGAAACTGAATTTATCCAGCATACACCAATCCCCATGGATGCTGGTTAACTGAAAGTCTACTGCAGGGGTCCTCAAACGTTTTAAACAGAGGACCAGGTCACAGTCCCCTCAAACTGTTGGAGGGTTGGATTATAATTTCAAAAAATCATGAATGAATTCCTATGCGCACTGCACATATCTTATTTGTAGTACAAAAAAACTTTAAAACAATATAATAATTAAAATGAAGAACACTTTTAACTAAGATAAACTTATTAGTATTTCAATGGGAAGTGTGGACCTGCTTTTGGCTGATGAGATAGGATTGTTGTTGTTGTTGTTGTTATTGTGTGCTTTCAAGTAGTTTCATACTTAGGTTGACCCTGAGCGAGGGCCAGATAAATGACCTTGGAGGGCCGTATCTGGCCCCCGGGCTTTAGTTTGGGGACCCCTTGTCTACTGTTTTGAGAAAAAAGATCAAGTGGAGCAAGACACTGAGGAGGACAGAAAATTAAACATTATAGTGTCTGGACTATCGTTCACATAGTGTCTGATGTGAACGAAACAGGATATTTATACAATTAAAGTTTCACCGTGAAATAAATGAAATCTTTGGCCACATGTTTACACAGAAGTGCTAAGGAAAGAGTCCAGGTAATGGTGCTAGTTGTAGGCTTTCAGTCTTTTTTTGATTTATGGCAATCCTAAAACAACCCTATCAGATTAATCCAGAATGGGGTTGCTTTTGGCCCTAGTTATACTGCCAAATACAATCCAGATTATCTGTTTTGGGCTGGATTAAATCACAATATAGACTCATATAATCCAGTTTAAATCAGATAATAAGATTTTATATGCAGTGTAGATGGGGCCTTTGCCTTCCTCCAAGGCTGAGAAAGGCGGTTTTCAGAAAGAACCTGAAAACCTGGCTGTTCCAACGTGCCTTCTCAGATTAGGAACCTCACTACCAAAGCCCAGAAGCACTTTAGTAGAGTCAAGATCACCCTCACCGCACACTGCACTTATATTTTAATCCCATATCCCTCCGACACTTCAGCACTTTTAATCCTGTACCCTACTCCTGGCCGGCTCAGTTTTTAATAATGTCCTGTTGTACTGCTATTGTTATTGTTTTCTGCTTTAACTGTTTTATTTGCTATGTACTGTATTGTTGTATTGTGTTGGGCCTGTTGTAAGCCGCATCGAATCCCTTGGGAGATGCTAGCGGGGTACAAATAAAGTAATAATAATAATAATAATAATAATAATAATAAAGGACATAAACGATCTTGTTGCTGTTATCTTTCTTATACTTGCAACTGTAAAGCATGTGACAGCATAGCAACTCATGTAAACCACAAGGGTGTTTTATTTTGTCTAAACCATATCTATCCAGTACAGTTTTAAATACTAAATGAAGATTTCCAGCTGTATTTTCATGTAACAAGTGTTTTAGTAGTATGGGTGTAAGATAATCAACATTTTAACAATACATTTTATATTTCTCCTTATTTACTATTTTTCAAAATAGAGCTTTGTCAATCTGACCGAAAAAGATAAAGGAAAAGAAGCACGGGAGACCCTCTAGCCTTGTTCCTTGGAGCTGCAGCATTCAGAACCGATAGGCATCAAGTAATTTGTATGGGAAAGGATTTTCACAATGTTTTCTGGAAGAAAATTGCTTTTTACAAGGAAAGGTGGTTTTAAACTCATTAAGTTTTTCTCAGTCCCTTTCAGAGTATGAAATCTAACATTTCCATGTTGTTATTGTATTTTCTTTTAAACAATTGTTTGATTTTATAGGTTATTTTTTAATATTCTTAAAATAACAAATCAGAAGAGACCATTTTAAACTAAAGATATCTTTTAAATTACCATAGTATGTAGTATATCTATGCTACATATTTGTGAACTTGGGTGAAAGCACAACTTATATTCCACCTTCAACTCTGGGATGGGGGTGGGGGACCTTTTAAATCTCACATCTATTTATTTCCAACTCCACAAAACACATGGTGATGATATCTTTACTAGGCCAACCAAAAGGTGCAAAATACACAACTTTTCAAAACTCACAGGTTTCTTTATCATCTATGAATGGTAAAAGTCATTTCAGGGAGAGAAAGTGAAGGACCACAGAGCTGTATCTTTCTTAACATGTTAAAAGGTTGAAATGTTCCTGCTTGGTGGAGCTTCATTTCACTTTTCTCCATGATTGGGATCCTAGGTGATTCTATGATTTGCTACTTTGTCTTCATAGTAGTCACGCTGTTTTAGTTGGTGGTACCCTTCTCTACTGTATTCTGTGCTTTTACTGTTTTCTGAAAACATCCATGAAAGTTATTTTTTGTTTCATGTCAAAAGCATTGCATGAAAGTAAGCACAATTCATAATGACTCATCTCCCAGTCTTGAATCTCCCTATCCCTGAATGTGAAATGTTTTCCTGCTTCCCAACAGGAGGCAGAAATCATTTCCCAGCTTGTATACAAGAGATGAATTTTGTTTTCCTCCCTGCCCCAGAATTAGCATTTTCATTTTTTTTTATCTTTCTGAGTTATTAATGACCTTGAGTCTAGGTTAATAACAAAAAAAAATCATGATACTTCAGTCAAAACTCTCTTTTGCTAGACCTCCTCCTATTTTTATCTGCTTGGTGTGAATGATATCATCATGTTGCCAACACAGGAAAATTTCTCAGAAGAACTACGTAATTCAGAAGGACTTCTTCACAGAGAATCACTATTAAGATTAGTGTCTGAAGTCTGTATTCCATCTTTATATTCTTATAAAGCCACGTGCTTGTTCATCCTGTGAGATAAGCCTAAATCTAGTTGGTTGTTCCAGCTGGAGTAAACCACTGAATATATAGAACTTGACATGAAAATAGACATATCACATTCTCACTGCTTTGATGGTTTCCTCTAGTTGGGACTAATGATTGGACTTACCC